TGGATGAACCAGACTCTCCTCTAGAGGTTGGTTAAATCATCTAACATGGTTTCTGTGCTGTTATTTCCCTTGATATTAGTTGGAAGGACAGTAAAAGGCACATGGTCATGTACAGCACCATGGACAGCGTCTCTGTTTGTATGACTTGATACGAGTGCTGCATCCGCATTGACATTCATTAGTTCTAGAAAATAATGCTCATTCGTACTCTTGGCACTGCATAACATGATTTATAATTTATTTTAAGTATGGCTTCGATGCAGTTATATTCTTTGTCAAAGAAGACTGATAGCTCACTGCTCTCTTGCAACGTTGCTGATGCACTTGAACATAGAGGATGACGTCTCGAGTCTCTTAATAGGTATTTACTCACTCTGGACACCGAAAAGTAGTTGTCTCCATGTTACTTTAATCATTATGCTGGCAATAATTAACTTCTCTTCTCACAACACTCCTGTAGCCTTCGCTAGTTGTCAAACTCCAAGCGTTTTCTCCACTAGCTTTTAACCGAACTATGTTTTTCTTGTGTGTGTGTGTGTGTGTGTGTGTGTGTGGGTGTGTGTTTGTGTGTGTGTGTGCGCGCATAACATTGCAATGAACTTAGTGTTCGGATTTCTTAGAGGGAATCACATAAGAAGAGTATTATTGTAAAATGATGGTTGATTTTTTTTTTGTCTTTTAAATGATTTTACCGGAATAATTTCATGTCATATCTGTAGATTATTATTACTGTATCTCATGAAATCAGCCATTTAATATTTCTCAACATAATTCTGTTTTGCATTGTGTTACTGGTTCTGGACTCTAAGCGACGCTGTTGGTCAATCCAACATATTTTATAACACATTACCACACAGTCCCCTCCCTTATCACCGTGGCCTCTGGGAGAAAAGGAGATATTGTGCATTATATGGGCTGACACTCGACGACAACAGATATCTCCATTCGGATTTATGCAGTAATTTGAAAAGGCGACATCCTTTGTCTTTACTGGTACATTGGCTGTGTTTTCCAGGACAAGTATTCTTATTGGATCGTTTTTCTTTTTCTATGGCGTGTGGAATTAGACACGACACCGTGCGCGTAAAATGGCGTTTTGGTTGCGGACAGAATTGGCAGATTCTGTTCCTCTTTTT